CGAGCCTCTTTTTTTTTTTTGAAACAGAGTCTCACTATGTCGCCCTCATTAGAGTGCCATGGTAGCTCACAGCAACCTCAAACTCTTCGGTTTAAGTGATTCTCTTGCCTCAGGCTCCCCAGTAGCTGGGACTACAGGCACCCAGAAATTTAATGCCCGGCCATTTTTTGTTGATGCACTTGTCACTATTGATTTTAACTGGCCCAGGCCAGGTTCAAACCCACCAGCCTCAGTGTATGTGGCCGGCACCCTAACCACTCAGCTACGGGTGCCACCTAGTTCCCTTCTCTTTCTTATAAAACTATATAGTCTTGGGGCTTACTTTCAAAAGCAAAGTGCAAAAACAAAACCACATACCTTAAGCAAAACCTCTACTATGCTGGCATGGCCCTCAGAAGCTGCCATGTGCAGTGGTGTCCGGTCCACTTTGGTTCTGGCATCTCTACTCACGCCAGCTCGGAGTAGTACCTCTGTGGTGGAATAATGCCCATACTGTGCTGCCAGATGAAGTGGAGACGTTCCCAGCTACACACAAGAAAAAAAAAATTCACATTTACTGTTATTTTTAATATACTTCTACTACTATGTTCTGTTATCTATCTACATAGTAACTCAAAAGAAATGACCAGTTTATGCTTATCATAGCCTCTACACAGAGGCCTCCAAGAATTCTCAAATACTTTGGTGAAGAAGAAATGTCAATATTTCCTACAACTCAAGCTTTCTTCATTATTTTTTATCAGATAAATAGCCAAAACAAAATTAATTTTATTAGGGATTAGAGATGATTAGGGTTTGAGAAATTTTTCTGAGTACTGGAACGTTTTCTTCATACCAATCACATAAAACTTGCTCAATTAACTTCTTTTTATCTATAAAATTCATAACAAATAAATTCAATAGGGCAAATGCTTATGATAATTGGATCAAAACTTCTGTAAGAGTTTAAAAATTAATTAAAGTACCTCAGTGACTTTTTTTTTCCCTTGAGACAGTGTCTTGCTTTGTCGCCCAGGCTAGACTGCAGTGGTGTTATCATAGTTCACTGCAACCTCAAACTCCCAGACTCAAGTGATCCTCTTGCCTTCGCATCCCTGGTAGCTAGGACTATAGGCATGCATTAGCATGCCTAGCTAATTTTTCCATTTTTTGTAGAGATGGGGTCTCACACTTGCTCAGGCCATTCTCAAACTCCTGGCCTCAAGCAATCCTCCTGCTTCAAAGTGCAGGATTATAGGTGTAAGCCACCGGGCCTCACCCCTTAGTGATCTTTTTAAAGGGGGTTCATACAGTCATTTTTCAAAGAAAAATCTGAGGTATACTTGCCAAGGGTGAGTCAGGATAAAAACAAAACAGAAGCCAGTTCTGAAATTGGTTCCAGATCTAACCATTAAATTGACATCTACAATATACAGACAAGGTACTAAATATGAGTGAAGAGTCTTACCAGAGGCAGACTTTAAATACACGAAACTTAGAATTAAGTTACACCAAATGCATTTTAGAGCCATAAAAAACCCTACATGTCTGATTATCAAGTCACTAATATTCCAAAGAACTAAAATATTTTTGCTAGAATATGAAATTTGCTAGGCCCATCACTATAATTACAGCAACTTTATTAAATGCTTTCTATGGAACACACTATGCTATGACCTTAACAATTATTATCTCATTTAACCTCTTGAGAAGATAGTTGTTATTATTATTATTATCCTCATTTGGCAGTAAAAGAATTTAAGGTACAAGAGGTTATTAGTTTGTCTGAAGTAACACAACAAGTAAGAGTTATAATACAAAGCTAGAGCATTAAATATTATCTTAATACATGGTAAAAATGGAAATCATTTATTTTAAGATTGTTTTATTATTAATAAAAATCATATATACAGGTATACACACACACATACATATAGATTTTAAATTACAGAGGGTCTCGCTGAGTTGCCCAGGCTAGATCATGGTGCATGCCTAGACAGCTATGTTGTCTAGGCTATGTTGTAGTTGTGATTATGGTGCACTATAGCCTCAAATTCCTGGGCTCAAGCAATCTTCCTGCCTTGCCCCAAGAAAGGTCACTCCAGCAGATTGAAGAAGATTCTTTTTTTTTTTTTTTTTGAGGCAGAGCCTCAAGCTGTCCCCCTGGGTAGAGTGCCGTGGCATAGCTCATAGCAACCTCTAACTCCTGGGCTCAAGCGAGTCTCCTGTCTCCGCCTCCCAAGTTGCTGGGACCACAGGCACCCGCCACAACACCTGGCTATTTTTTTTTGGTTGCAGCCATCATTGTTGTTTGGTGGGCCCAGGCTGGATTCAAACCCACCACCTTAGGTATATGTGGCTGGTGCCTTAGCCACTTGAGCTATAGGCACCAAGCCCGAAGAAGATTCTTGAACAATCCTTTCTTTCTCCATGTTTTGTCATGTTTTTCTATACCTGGCCTTTTTTACATTCTTAATTTCTAATATATATATATTTTCTATTTTAGGTTAATGAAGGTACAGACAACCAAGCCACAACATTTCAATTTGTTAGATAGGTAGAGGCCCTCTTGTAGTTGTGTCTTGCACCCAAACAGTGTGCCATATACCCCTACATCGTGCCCATTAAGTGGGAGCACTCCAACCCCCTTCTTTGTTCCCCGCTCCCTCACAACTTGAAATGAGTTTTTCTCCTATGTGGGCATGAATTAGATAATCTACTGGCTTCGTATTGTATTGAGGACACTGGATATTTGTTTTTCCATTCTTGTGATACTTCACTGAGAAGAATGTGTTTCAACTCCATCCAGGTTAATATAAAAGATGTAAAGCCCCCATCTTTTGTGGCTGAAAAGCATCCATGGTATACATATACCATAGCTCATTAATCCATTCCTGAGTTGATGGGCATTAGGTTGTTTCCGCATCTTGGCGATTGTAAATTGAGCTGGGATAAACAATCTAGTGCAAATGTCTTTATGATAAAAGGATTTTTTTTTTCTGGGTAGATTTCTAGTAGTAGGATTGTGGGGTTAAATATGAAAATCCTAAAAGAAAATATGGGAAAAACTCTTGAGGATGTCTGCCTAGGAAAAGATGTTATGAACAAGACTTCAGTGACAATCGAAACAACAACAAAAATAAGCAAGTAGGACTTAATCAAACTGAAAAGCTTCTGCACAGCTAAGGACACAACAATTTAAACCAAATAGACAACCTTCACAACAGCAAAAGATATTTTCATGTTATAAATCTGACAAAGGTTTGATAACTAGGATCTATAGAGAACTCAAATTAATCAACAAAAAAAGAACAAACAATCCCATCTATCACTGGGCAAGAGACATGAACAGAAAGTTCTCTGAGAAAGACAGACAAATGGCTAACAAACATATGAAAAAATGCTCACCATCCCCAGTCATCAGAGAAATGAAACCAAAACCACCCTGAGGTATCACCTAATCCCAATAAGATTAGCCCATGTCACAAAGTCCCAAAGTTGCAGATGCTGGCACAGATGTAGAGAGAAAGGAATATTTTACAGTGTTGGTGGGACTGAAAATAATACAGCCTCTTTGGAAAGAAGTATGAAGAACCCTCAAAGAACTTAAATTCTAATATTTAATGAAAGTATTGCAATAGCCCATTTAGCAACCAGGAGTTTTGCTAAGTGTGACATTGTATTATTTTTCTTCTTAAGACCTTTCCATTTTGGTTGTTGATACAAAAGACAAAATATATGTAGTTTAAAGAAAAATAATAAGGCAAACATTTGTGAAATCAACACCACACTCTAGAAATAAAATTACCAGTGATTTAAAACCTTCCTGTGAGCTACTCCCTAATCACAAACCCCTCCCTCACCTACTATTCTGAATTCTGTGACAAATACTGCTTTGCTTTACTTTGTATTACTTACATATCCCTAAATCACATACTTTGATTTTGGCTGTTTTGTATTCATTTAATTAGAATCCTACTGCACATATTTTTCTGTGATTAGTCTTCTTTTGTTTAACATTATATTCCTGAGAATCACCCATGTTAATAAACACAAGGGTAGTTTGCTAATTTTGTTCTACAATATCCCATTGAATGAATAAACCACATTTCATCAATCTACTGATGAACATTTGGATTTTTTTTTTTTTTTTTAGAGACAGAGTCTCACTTTATTACCCTTGGTAGAGTGCCGTGGCGTCACACTTCAGAGCAACCTCCAGCTCTTGGGCTTAAGCGATTCTCTTGCCTCAGCCTCCTGAGTAGCTGACAGGTGCCCCCGACAACGCCCGGCTATTTTGTGTTGCAGTTTGGCTGAGGCCGAGTTTGAACCTGCCACCCTCAGTATATGGGGCCGGTGCCCTACTCACTGAGCCACAGATGCCACCCAGGGTTGTTTTTTATTATTATTTATAATGCTGCTGCTAAATACTTGTCTATGTGTCTCAGGCATAAGAACAGAAGTTTCTCTTGGGAATATTTTTAGATGTTCAACTGCTATGTCATAGGGTATGCATAGGTTAAAATTTGCTGGGTATTGACAAATTGTCCTCCAAAACAATTATGCCAAATTCATACTTCTACCAAAAGTACTTGAGATTTCCCGCTCCACTATTTCCTCACCAAGCCTTGCTACTGCCCAACCTTTTTAGGCTAATCTGGTGAATATGCAATAGTGTTTCATGATTTTACTTTGCATATGCCCAATTACTAATGCTGCTGAACATCTTTTCATGTTCATTGGTCAAACTTTCTCCTTGGTAAAGCAGAGTATCAAGTCACTTGTCCAATTTTCCATTGTCTTGTTTGTCTTTTTTACTACCAATCTATGGGATTTCCTAATGCTAGTATATTAGGACTATCCTTTTTAAGATCTCTTTGTCCTAATGTACCACAGCAACACTATGATGTATCTAGCTACAGATTTCTTTTTTTTTTTTTT